CAACGTGGAGAATATCCCGGACAGCCAGAAATAATCATGTCACAGTGGTTACAGGACAATATAATCCCTCTGATTATTTTTGGTCGCTGGAATTAAGCTGATGCCTTATTTATATGTTTTCGTCTGTTTTAATATACAAATTTTGTCAACGCAGTCTCACCTGGTCATTGTTCAGCCCTTTTACGAATAGTGGTCACTACAGTGGACAGCTATTCAAAAGCCGTTTACTTGTAAGGCCAGAGGTTATGATAGTCTAGTTCAGCGGTTGGCAAATAAGTCTGGCATCGGGCCAAATTTTTTTCAAGCCATTACATGGTGGGCCACAACAAGTCCAATTATTTCAAATCTTCAAATCTATACTTGTGTGCATGTTTAGCTCAGTCGGTACTTTGTGGGACTCCCATTTGGAAGGTTATATGATTGATCCCAACTAACTGCGGGTATTTTTTTCTCCCTTGTTAAACAAATTGATTATAAGGACACAATAAAGCATATGCTGCAGTTTGTGAGTGTCCCAGCGTTTGATCCGCATTCATAAACCTATGGATGCTTATTTTCACTTCCCTGAGGAAATTCAGGGGAATCCAATTCTGAGAGGTGTGTCTAGCAAGCCAGAGTTTCAGGAGTGGGACCACACATCAATGACGTCACTCCCGGCTTTCCATAAATACCCACACAATGCACTTCCTCTTCTTTGCTCTCACATTCCGAAGATGAACCGAGACCAAGCAACATCGTGTCGAGCACGCTACGCTAACATCAAATAACGCTAATTATTACAAGCTACTTCCGTCCACTTACCTCTTTGAGAAGTGTTGGCACATCACTATCCCCATCGGATGCTGAATTATTCGGATGGACTCGCAACATCTTCTACATTCACGTCAGCAGACTGGCAGCACCAGAAGCCGAATTCTCTCCTCCGTCTCCACGCTTGATGACCTGCTTTCTACAATCCTAAAGTCAGCCAGGACTTAACTGAGCTAACAGTCATTTCAAGCTAACTCTGAGCTAACAGTTGTTTCGAGCTAACTTTGCTAACCTTGAGCTAACTGTCATTTCAAGCTAACTCTGAGCTAACAGTTGTTTTGAGCTAACTTTGCTAACCTTGAGCTAACTGTCATTTCAAGCTAACTCTGAGCTAACAGTCATTTCGAGCTAACAGTCATTATCTAGCTACGTCAGTTTCGAGCAAACAGTCGTTTTTAAGTCGTTTCAAGTTAAGAGTCATTACCTAGCTAAGTTGTTATCTAACCACGTCGATCTAAACATCTCGCTAAGTCACTTCAAGCAAAACTCGTTTTGAGCCATTTTCTTTTCGAGCTAACACTCCTTTTAAGCTAACTTCGAGCTGACAATCATCTTGAGCCAACAGTCATTTCCTAGCTTAGCTATTTTCCAGTCTGCTGGTCTTACCAAGCGTACCATCACTACACTTCAGATCTCAAGATCCCAGATCACCCAATGTTCTCTCAAATAACTGGAAGCCTTTTGGGGGTCCATCGTAACTTCCCCACAACGCTTTCGAATGTCTATTCAGCTACTGCAATCATCATACATCTTCTGTTTGTTTATCAATAAGTCATTTAATTGTATCTGTTGATTGTGGTCCTTGCTAGTGAAGTGGGGCTACCCAGCAGCGTGTCAGGAGCGGGACCACACATCAGTGACATCACTCCCGGCTTTCCATAAATACCCACACAACGCGCTTCCTCTTCTTCGCTCTCGCATTACGCACCCCCCCCCCCCCCCCCTTTCTCTGTCCGGTCTCTCTCCTCATCTCCTTAGTCTGCATAGGGTTATATGGGGGTCCGTCTTGCCCAGGCGCTACGGCGGATTTCCCTATCGTAGCTTCCCCACAACGCTTTCGAACGTCAGGTACTGCAAGCATCATGCATCTTCTGTTTGTTTATCAATAAATCATTTAATTGTATCTGTTGATTGTGGTCCTTGCTAGTGAAATGTCGTTCAGAACTCTTCAAAAGCTCTCAATTAACTTGTCATAAAGCATTGCTGCACAAAAAGTTCTCGTCCTTATTTTTTAAAGGCACAATCACTTAAGAGGAAGTGACTGTGTGAGTAACTGTAGCTGTCATGACTGAGATCTATTTCACAACCAGACGCTATCAGTTTATTTACTTTTTATTTTTCTGCCATCAAAGAAATCTGGCCAGGGGCCAGATATTATTGCTGGCGGGCCAGTTCTGGCCGCAGGCTTCCTATTGCCAACCACAGGTCTAGTAGCACATCAGCCGGTACAGTGGATGCTAGTGTCATACCATACACTGCCACCCTCTGGTAAGTTGTTGTAAGTGCAACTTAAATTCGTCAAAACCAAGATGCCGACGGACGATCAGCAACACTGAGCAGCTCAGGTAAATCTGCCACTCCTTCAATTATAGGAGACCCCTGCAATAAAAATTGGCAACATCTAGTAACGACTAAGGAGAAATACAATTGTTAAACTTTCTGAGAGTTGACTTTATGTTGGGAGGAAATTACGATTAATCATATGTCCACTAAATTGGACATTATGCACTACAATTAACTATTTTTTGTTTTTCTTGATAATATTTCATGTGCAATCAATGGATTTATGTTATTAGAAAGTAAAACTTGCAGAAGTGAGCTTCTTTTATTAGAATATGTTAAAATGTGTGACCACATTAGTTTAACAGCATTAAAAATATAGTTTTCACATACTGTATTATTTAATTCTTTGGTTTGTTGAATACATATTTCTCCAGTTAAAACTTTACATGCTCGGTGTCCACCTAATTGGACATGTAAAAATTTCCTTGAAAAATGTGTGTTTATAAAAATGAAATTCTAGTTTTATTTTTCATGACATAATTCATGCATGAAAGGGCTAATCAAGCCCTGAACACAAGCATCATTCTAAAACCATGAGCATTATTCCACTGCTATAACAGTGCCCACTCTTCTGGTTTCAGTCTTTCCACCAATTGTTGGAAATTGGCTGCAGGAATTTCCTGGTTGTGTTGTGTATGACAACCAGACCAGCATCACCACAGGTCAGAAAATGCAATAGTTCTTCTAAAAACTTTTTAAAATTTGAAAGTAACACATCTTCTGGAACTTTGTGGATAACAAAGTAAATAAAAGCTGATTCACCAGGTTTGGTTTGTTGGCTGCTGCACCTTCACTGTCAGAGATAAAGAGATAATTTATCTACATTGCTGCTGAATGTGCTGATTTTTACAGAATTATTCCCAAAAACCAAACACAAAACTGTTTCCCGAAGAAAAACTCCGGAGCTGCAACGACCAATCACACAGCTCCACTTTATAACAAAGGTTTACAGGATTATTTTATCATGCTGTCTCAGAGTGACACCTCATTCCTTTTGAAATAATAAAGCTCATGGATCTGATCATATGCGGCTGACAGATGTATCTATCAGCAGCTCCTCTTCATTGTCTTCACACAGAGAAGAAAGAGAGCGCAGAGATCGAAGGTTTACAGGTGCTGCAACAACAACTACTTATTTCCATTACTTTCAACCTGTTTGTCGGAACTATGAGCTTTGGATCTGAATAAAACTACCCACCTCTGTCTGACATTTGCATACTTTCCTTCTGTATGGAAATAATTGTGGAGGCCTAGGTTGCAATAATAAACACACAACAACATCAAAGCAATATGATGCAAAATATGATTAAAACTATGATTTATGAGAGGCTGCTGGGTTGATCAAGTCCAGTGGTGAAATGTAATGTACATTTACTCCAATACTGTTTTTAAAGGTTCAGTGTGTACGTTTTAGTGGAATCTAGTGCCAACCATCTAGTTTCAACCAGCGGCTTCATGTGCTCCTTTCATGGTCTCATTTCCCAAGTTGTGAAGTCGTTCCTCTGACTTCAGTGTGTATTCATGTCAGAATGTGGAATCAACATGGTCGCTACTACAAAGACGTGTTGGATTAGCATTGTCAGATCATATAAACAACACAATGATAACAACCATATTACAAATGACATGTTTGCAAAATATGTATATGCAATACATGATTTTCCACAAATCAAAGTTCTGTTTACACTTTACTTCTCTTTTTGTAATAAAGATTTAAGGAGGAAAAAAATGGCACGCTCTGTCGGCTCTTTTGCTAATTAATACGTGTGGTACTCCATCCATCCATCCATCCATCCATCCATCATAAACCAGTCAACTACTACTACTACTACTACCGCTATTGTTAGATGATCTTCTTCTTCTTTATACGTATTCAACTTAGTCATAAAAAGCTCTCTGTAGAGCTGTTTGTCCTTTAGGCTACTGTAGGCGCAACATCCATGTAAGGGGACCCGCGGTGTATACTGATAGAAATGGCTCATTCTAAGGAAATAAAAACATAACAGTTCATTATGTAAGGTCTTTATACATTTACATTTATTCATTTAGCTGACGCTTTTATCCAAAGCAACTTACAATTGCCATATATGTCAGAGGTCGCACGCCTCTGGAGCAACTAGGGGTTAAATGTCTTGCTCAGGGACACACTGGTGGATGGGTCATAGTAGGGGATTGAACCCAGGTCTCTCACACCAAAGGATTGTGTCTTATCCACTGCCCCATCACCCCTCCTATATACCACTGAAAACATAGTTATGGATATTATATTGCATTTCTGTCAATCAAAAACTGGGACTGTTTCTCTGACCCACAGAAGCTCAGAAAGTAGATGGTAGAGAAAGCGAGGAGCTAGAGAAGGAAGGGAGGAGGTATAGAAGGAAGGAGGAGATAAAGAAGGAAAAGAAGCAATAGAGAGAGAAAAGAAGAGATAAAAAAGAAAAGAGGAGACAGAGAAGGGAAAAACAAAGTAGAGACGGAAAAAAGGAAATAGGGGTAGGAAGGAGGAGATCAAGAAAAAAAAGAAATTGAGAAAGGGAAAGGAGAATGTAAAAAAAGGAACAGAGGAGATAGAGAAAGGAAGGAGGAGGGAAACCTTTGACCTCTGTGTTTCCACCTGTCTTTCCTACCTGTACATTTTTTGGGGCTGCCGGGTCTCTTGCCGTGCATCCCCAGCTTGCAGACGAAGTTCTCCTCCCAGAACTCAGCGAACCAGACGTTCCTGCGGTTGTTGGACAGGGAGCGGCTCCTGAAGTAACGGTCAAACGCTGTGGAAAGAAGGAAAGCGTTATTAAAGTGATGATCGCTTTCAGAACTGTGGCGAGGTTTGTAACAAGACATGCTGTTTCCTGACTCACCGTCCACGGACGCCCTCTTGGGGAGGATGGTGATGGCGCCCTCGGCCACCTGCTCCTGCTGGACCACTGGAGAGATCTTGGAGCCCCAGCTGTCAGAGCCCACCCACAGGAAGTGACCTGTCAGGTTGTTGCGTTTCGCTGCATCCAGGATTCGCCTTCAGGGTCACAGGTGAGACAGTCGATATAGCCAATGAGAAAGAGATGAGAATCAGTTCTCACTTCCTCCTTTTTGTTCATTTGTTATGAAACAAGAGTCTAAAGCCAGGCGGGCGGCTTTACTTAATAAAAAAAATAAAATTTATTCAGTTAATACTCAGACTAGACTTAAAATGGTCACTGTGTCAGATTAGGCATCCACTATGCATTGGGGTAGGGTGCTGAGTACGTGGGGGGGATGCGGATGCTCAGTGATCGTTCCCTCTGGCTGGATGAAGTCTGACGCTCATGATTTTATGCAAGATCCATGATGATAGAGAAATATAGAAATTACTGGAAATAATGCATGCTGTCAATATTTGAGAGACCCCCCAAAATATCACAAATCATGCTTATAGGGGAGCTGGTGTCTTATTATTTCCCCCTGGTTCCCGCATAGATCGCAACTACTGACACAAATTCAGCACGTCTTGCAATTTTGACCAATCACCACAACTCTTCCGCAAATTTGACCTATCATCGCCGTTTCCCGCAAAACGTTGTCATATGTCAGCTTGTCACGTCCTTGTTTACAAGCTGCAGCAAACGTGTGATACCAACATCTCACATTTGCCGAAAAAATAGCAGCAAAGGACCGTGAAAAAACAGTGTCCAGATCTTCATTACCAAAGTAGGTGTAAACACTGCCACCACAAAACATATGTGGAGAAACGCAAGGAGGACGCATCAAATCACTGTAATACAGGCTGTTGCATCCTGGTCAATTACAAGTGCTGAGAAGTAAGTAGGCAGGGTTAGACCGGCAAAGTTCTGGGGGGACTGTTTAATAATAATAATAATAATAATAAATCAACTATAAATCTAAAGTTTAAAAAAATCACATCTACCTTTGCAGTTTTCACTTATTACCACAATTTCATCCCCAAAAAATTTAGCAAAATCTGCCATTTTAGGCCGCAACAATCACAAAAAAGGCCCACAAAATCTTGGAGGAACTGATTATTGCGCTGATATTGTGTAGTCTGAACCCGGCATAAGAGCCTGTACTCAAGAACAGCAGTGTCTTGAGCTAGATGCTAATATCAGGATGCTAACATGCTCATAATGACAATGCTAACATGCTGATGTTTAGCATTTAGTAGTACAGTATTTACCATGTTCAACTTCTTATTTCATCTCATCCACTCTCATCGTGTTTTTCTTGGACATTAATATTATTCTTAATTAAATGAGTTCAAACACGAGATGATCAGTCTGCTCCTTTACATTATCATCCGTCTCCTCTCGTCTGCAAGGTCTCAGGATGAGTGATTTCTCTGTGTGTGTTTGATTCAGATCCGCAGATTAACATCAGCTGTTACACTGATATCTAGTGTGTGTGTGTGTTTGTGTGTTATGCTTCAGTTCACTCAGATAATTGGAAGCTTGTTATCTTAATCTGCACTCAACAGTTGGTGGATTAACTGATTAAATACATTGAGAACATATAGATACAGAATGTATGTGTGTGTCTGAGTGTTTGTGACTGAGTGAGAGAGAGAGAGAGAGCCCTGTGTTACATTTGGAGACTAATTTCAGATGAACTGGGGGGAAGTGGGAGTTATTAGTTAGTATTCACCGCAGTATTCTTCAGAACATTTTCCTGCATTTTCACTCATGCTCATACTCTTGTATTTATGTTGCTTATGTTACCTATTTTCTCATATTTATGGCTACTTGCTCATGACTCATGTCTTTGAATATAAAGCACATTGACTTTACTTGTAATGAAATGTGTTAAATAAAATTGGCATTGCCAACACATTATTTTCAGTTTAATTTTCTAAAACAGTAACCAAAAATTTAATTATAAAAAACAATAAAAATAAATAAACTGGAACATTTGATATAAACTTGGATTTTAAAAAGACCAACAGTATGTCTCAAATCAGATACTTACTTACATAGTGCTTGACTTTCAACAGGATATTTAATTAAACACTGCAGTTGTGCACTAACCGGAAATACAAACCATTGTATGAGGGTGCGACAAGACCCACCCACTTTTTAAGACCAATAAATTATTAACTCCATTCCACGTTTTAGCTACAGCCTTGACTTCAACGCTACTGCTTCCTCAAATCCATTCCACTTTGCTCATTCAGAGTCCATATGAATGAAACTTCATTCCGTGTTTTGACTGTTCGCTCCAGCTGCACTCAAGTAAGCAAATCACCTTAGCATACCTGCTGCTCAGGTGGGTCCAATTACTGTTCTTATTTGTTCACCTGTTGCTTTAAAAGGCATTATGTAGTCTTTGTTGCAGCATTATATTACAGTTACACTTAATTACACTATGTTGGTATAACACTAACAGTTATCTAATGTTTTTTTCTTGGCTAGCTAGCTAGCTAGCTACAGTAATGTCAACATTAATCAACCGGTGTTAGCAGCAGTTTGAATCTCAATGAGAGAAGCTAGTTGTTTTACCAGTGCCAAATCTCATCCAAAAGTGGACTTGACAAAATTATTGTTTTTTTATCTGCATGTGTACTGATTCAGCAGGGAATATGTATATGTACACCAAGTTTGAAAATACATTGGTCCCTTCTGCTCCGTAGCCAAGATGGCGACTGTGAGAAGTGTCTAACGTTCCACTCTCAACTTTTTGACTGCTCCATCCAGGTACTGCATTTTGCCATACTCCTCAGTGTGACTGCACTTATGCGCTCAAAATAGTAAGTGTGAGTAATGAAGGGCACAAATTGAGTTGAGACGCTAAATGATTATAATGTTCACCATCTTAATGTTGCATGTTAGCATGCTAAAATTAGCTAATTAGCACGAAACAAAAAGTACAGCTGAGGCGGAATGTTATTAGTTCTGTAAATATCTGTTCATAAGCCAAAGTAGTAGTTCATTTATTAATTTTTTTTCACCCTGTTTTCACTTTCTGTAACTTTATAAATGTGAAAATCATTTAAACTGATCTGCTCATTTTCAAAAATGTGGGGTATTGTTTTGGTAAAAATTGGTAAAATTTTTTAGTTTTAATCAAACATTTTTAATATAAATCTCCAGGGACAGAATAAATCAATGGAATGCATCAAAATGTGCACCCATTTATTCTTTTATTATCATTCAAACTTGTGTGAAACTTTTTCAAACTTTTACCGGATGTCATCTTCGTTTGCGAACATGATGACAGCGCGAGCGTTGGGCGTCTCCAGCAGACGGAGGACGATCTTGTCGAACTCACCGGGTCTTGGCTCCCGAAGAACCTTTAGGGACTGAGCAATACAAACCCCACCTGAGAAAGAGAGAGAGAGAGAGAACATTTTTATACTAGTATTATATTTAAGATTTCACACAGGATTACATTTACTCATTTTGCAGACGTTGTTATCCAAAGCGACTTACATTTGAGAAACAACATACAAGCATCAACCGAGCATCAACTACTTATCAACTACAGCTGACAATACATACTAGTAAGAGCAGCAATAAATACTAGTAAGAGCAGCAATAAATACTAGTAAAAGCTCATGGTACATATCACGTCAATGGGGTAAATATCTAGGGAAGGAAGTAAGAGTTAACAAAAAAGTGCAATCAATACAAGATCATTGTAGGGGATAGAAGAAGAAGAGCACAGGAAGTGCCTGTTAGAGGTTAGGAGTTAGAGGTGTTATAAGAGGAAGTGTTCTCAGAAGAGATGAGTTTTCAAGAGCTTCTTTAAGTTAAAGAGGGACGCCCCTGCTCTGATGGCGTGTGGTAGCTCAGATTATTCTCAAACATATTTTAGTTTGAGTTTTTGCAATTTAGTTTCTATGTGTAAGTGTTATTTTACTGTTGTTGCTGGTCAGGGTGGAGCTAACATCTGAAACATGAACAGGAGCCCTTTTAATCAAAGTTGTATTTTTAGAAACTTAATCTGTAAATGAACTATGCTGCAACATTGATTACATTTTTTTTGTAGTTGCACAAAGTGTAAAATGTCAACATCGTTAAGTTACAACATGAAAAAAAAGGATTAGTGTAGTTAAAAGTAGATGATAACTAGCTACATCAGCTGTTTTGTGTCATATAAACTGTGATGTTAGTGACACAGTTTGTGCACATTCTGCAGATTACAAGCCTGCTGTGACAAACCTAACACATCACATACTGTGAAAGGAATTGACTGAAAAAAAGACTCAGGACACTGATCTGAGAACAAGGTTTGCATTGGCGAGATGTTATCTGGATAGGTGAAGCCATTGGAGGGACCTGATCATTAATATTAAAAGGTTTAAAAGCAAGTTTGATTTTTCAGCTCCTTAAGAATCTGGCAAGAATTAGGCAAAACATTTTTCCTGTGGTGACAACAGTATAGTTTGAACTCATGGTATTCTTCTTTATTACAGTTTTATGTCCTTTAACGTTGTGATTGGTTGTTCTGCTTCCTGTTCTATGGTGCCGCAATCAGCTGATTAGATGTTTTCTCTTTGTCTCCTCCTAATCACATCATTAAACTCTCTGCTTCAAACTCACTGACGACTCCGCTGCCTAAAACACACTTTGGTGAAGTTTGTGATGCTGTTCTTGTAGGGTCGCCCCTGGGAAAGACAAACAAGAGCAAGTGGAGTTCTGACGATGAACTTTGTGGCTCTGACATGAAGTGAAGTAAAGTACAGTAGAGGCTGTAAGATGTTCCAACTTAATTGGCTCTTTCAAGATGGAGCGACTTGCCGGCCGACTGTCCCAGGAAATCTCCAGGGAAAAATAAACGAGTCACAGCTGAAAATAATCATGTCTCGTTCATCTGACCTCGATTGTTTCAAAGAGTCTTTTTTAAGGTGGTACAACTGGAACTAAAGAGTTTAAAGATTACTGCAGCAAAGAGATAAAATATTAAAAACTACTAAACTACACTATGTTTCTTTTGCTTCTTGCAAATTGTTGGGAAAAGGTTGTTTTTTCTCCATCAATAACATGCGTTTGACAAATGAAATCCGTGTTTGTTTAGTGATGTAACAAAACTGAGGGCAAGACAGCTGCACAGGTTTGTCATCATTTCCCCAGCTACCTCGTCCACATGTAATGTAGACAATGATCTGAGTCAACAGCACAGGCACCAACACAAAAGCCATGAGATAAAAGGTGAACGACAGGAACAGGAAAGAGTCTCTTTTTTCACTCATATACCACAAAGATTCAAAAACATTATGAACCGACCTCAAACTCGGTATCTCGTCACCTCGCCAAGATTGGCTGAAACCACAACTATTACATTATTTTTCTTTGGCTAAGAAGCAGGAAATGTTAAATATCAGTATCACTGCTGGAGCTTAGGGCCATTGCTGAGTAACAGTGTGAAAATAAAACAAAATGCAACACAAAGAAGTTGATTTTAGTTATTACTTTGACTGCTACAGCCAAAGTTGTAATTAACTGGAATTTTCCAACAAGAGTCTGCAATTCAAGTTCTTTATTATCATATGCACAACATTATATCAACCATTCAAGTCTCAATAATGCATAAAAAGAAAATCACGTAAGTAAAGAAAGAGAACCTAAGACATTGTGCAGAAGTTAAAATATAAAATAAAAAGGTTTAACTGCAATATTTTATGTCTGCATAGATTGCATTCATGCTAGCAGCTCTGTGAGGATGTAATTTGAGCTAAATGCTAATGTCATGCTAACAATGACAATGCTAACATGCTGATGTTTATTTAGATGACATTATTTTAGTAGGAAATAAGCTAAAGTACTGGACAAATAAAATGTTTAACCCCTGATTATTCATCTGAGAGGGACATGAATGTGTGAATTAAAATGTAATCAAATGTCATCATGGTGCTACAGGGAGAGTCGGGGGACCTCAAGTTAGTAACATTCACCTCTGGGCAGCATGAATATCTGTGCATATTTTATGACAACCTATCTTATAGTTGTTGAGCTATTTTAGTCAGGGCCAAAGTAGCGGACCGACCTACATTACCATTCATAGAGCCACACTGCTGTCTGAAAAAAAAAGGAGTGGTAAGAGCAGGCTGGACAGGATTTACAGAAGAGTAAAAGAAAAGTCCATTTTTCAGTAACACTTTTTTTATAGATCAGGAATTTTTTAATATTATTGCCAAAAGTTTCAATATAAATAACTAATAAAAGGGAAAATATAGACAGTGTGTGGTTGATACTAATTAATTAATCGAGTTCATTTCTGGTCAGAGCACAGCAGGTTAGCTGAACATACATCAATGTAAAAAGCAATCAATTAAACATCCGTGCAGTTTCCAATAATAAATGAATTATCAATAAATATGTACTGGTGTCAATGTACTACTGTAGAACAAAATGTTCCTATAAATGACATACTTCAGAGAAAGTTATAAATGAATTACAGACCTGTAAAAAAAAAAGTATTACCATCACTCCACTGCTGAAGCAACAGTGTGGATGTAAAAATATTGTATAATATGATCGAAATGTCATGTCGGGTTGAAATTTTATCTCTGTTAAAGAAAGAGGAGCTGTGTGAGTTCAGGTCTTGTCTGTTCAGCCTGATCTCTGCGGCTCCGGGGCAAAGAATGGAGATAAAAACGTTGCTGCCATTATTATCATTATCACAGCGTCCACAGCGAGCTCAGAGGCCATCTACAGTCGTTCCCCCAAGACACGGTTTCATTCAGACGCTTTCAGGGTAAAATTGATTCCATTCTGAGCTCATTACGACATTAAACAGGCCCATCAGATTGGAGCTGCAGTGTCTCTCTTGTACAGGGATTATATTGGGATTATATACAATATTTGAAGGTATAAAGGTCAGGCCGCTGTGAGCAAGATGGCACCAGTATCATCTCACATCTTAGTGAGAGGGTATTTTCCCCCCCTCTTCATTCAAACTCATCTCAGTTTTCCCGGCAACTAATTGTCTTTGAGTTTCAAAAGTTTCAAAAGCACAATTTACACCTGATGATTGATTTGGGTAAAGTGACCATTTAAAATGACTGACTGACCTGCCAGGTCACCACCAATAGGTCAAAATCATGATAGCCGTACCTCTAAAACTAGATAACAAAGAACATTAAAATGTTAACATTAGCATGATAATCTGCTTTTTGTTACCATATTAGCATGTGTTCAGACAACAGAAACAGAACATCAAGGGTTGGTGTTGGTACGGGTTTATTGTTTCTGGTACAGGTGAAACATGAAATACAATATTGGAAGTCCATAAATAACAGATTCACGAGTTTAAAGGCTTTTCTGAAACCATAACAGTCACTTGTGCCTTTTTTCACGGAAGACATTTTGATATCTCACTGTAGGTAAAGCACAGCTGAAAAGCCAGTGATGACTGAATTGAATTTAGCTGCTTCAGTTTCAGGGTCCTGGTGTTGTGCATGCTGGTGATGTCACACTGTCATGGCTTATAGGGGAACTTAAAGGAGACCTATTATGCTTTTGCATATTTTATTTACAATGTTACAATACACACAGAGCTACACGGAGCCGGTATTCCATATATGGTAATTTGCTCCAGTCTGTCTGTAGCACCCAGGGACAACAACAACCATGTAACATGCTTCAGGTCTTAGCCAATCAGAAGACAGCTGGCTTTGAGAGGAGGGCCTTAAAGAGACAGGAGCATCTACAGCTTGTTTCAGACAGAGGATACAGAGTCACAGAACTACAGGTACAATATAGAACTGGAAATGCAGTACAGTAGGTCTCCTTTAACCTCTTAACATTCCAAGGTCCTTGGAGGCAGTTTTCGGTATGTGCACACAATTGATGTGATTTGGCTAATACGGAGCGACGCAGCAGCTTGCCGTCAAGGGGAGGTGCTGTTTTAGAAAAAATACGCTAAGACATCAAATTTAAACTTGGACTATATAAGCTTTATGCTGTGACCCAACAGTGTTTTCCAGCTAATAAGTTCCAGCTAAAGTTGTCTGCATGCATTTGTTAGCAAGCATTTTCAAGTGGAAACGAAAAAATTTTTTTAGTTTTAGTGTGTTTAAACTTATATTAATCAATTCCAGTAGCACTTACAGTGATTCTGACTTTTGGGTTAGAAACTCCAGAGTGTTATCTTTCAGAGAAGTCCAAAACCATGCATACTCCAAATGGTTCAAGAACTACATTCAATTTACTTTGGATATGCCTTGAACAGGCGATTTGCATGACTTTTACAGGAATGGTAAGAGGTTAAAAAGAACAGAGCCATTGTTTATGTCATTAGAAGTACCCGATGTCTTTCCCAAGACATCGGGTGACGTGTTGGGAAAAAAGTAATTTAAAGCTCATCAGAAGCCATGAACAAACAAAACTAGAAGTGAACTGCCATGCTAGCACTTCTGTCATGCTGTACTATGCTAAAAGCTAACGACAGAATGCTAATATGCTCAGACTGACAAAGATAACATCCTCATGTTTAGGCGCAATAATGTTTACTACTACTTTTCACCATCTTAGTTTAGTATTTTAGGATTTGCTACTAAGCACTAAATAGAAGGTACATCTGATGAGAGTTTCATTTGATTTTTTGGGTATTTGGTCATAAACTAAACTACTGGAAAAATTGGCCTCATGATGGTGTTCAATGAAGAAAAATAAAGGGATCATCAAAGTTACTAGTATTCATCCAGATATGCATGTACCAACTTTCACAACAATCAAAAGTTGTTGAGACGTTTCACTTGTGGTGTAAAAGTGGTGCTAAAGTAAAAGTCAAAGGATTGCCAAAATCAATAGGATTCATGCTCTGGGGACTGTGTATGTCTCCATAAAATTCTACTGAAGTCCACGTGGTGAGTTATCAGTCAGGACCACAGTGGTGGGCTGGGCGACCAACAGACAGACGTTGGCGTCCATAGATGACAATAAAATTGAAAGATGAACGACAAAAAAGCTTTACAGCACTTTTGCATCCAAAGCTACGTTTTTGGTCGAACACTCGTTTTTCAAGTTGTAGTGTTGTTGGAATTTGATCCTCTGTGTTTGTTTGTTTTTATTTGCAGCTAAATTACTTCTCTCTACTGCTTGAGCTTATTGTTTTTGGTGTTTCCAACCCTTCCTTCATGTTTAAACAACATCCATCCACCCATTCCTGCGTAGTAACTGCTCCAGAGTGAAGATTTTAATTTAAAAAATAACAACAGTCTCTGTGCTGCTGCAGCAGCACACTGCTCAATAAAGTAAAGCAGCTCTCATTTGTATGCAAATATGAGGTAAATTGTACAGAGTGAGAGATAATGTTCACCTCAGTGTGAGCTGTTAATATTTAAACCATGTGCAGATGATAACTAGTGATGACAAGTTAGTTTCAATTATTTTAAGATTTATGTTACTGTTACCTGTTTTTTTTTTTTTTTTTTTAAATCATAAGAATTACTTTGAAAAGGTACAAAGTGTACAGTTTGGCCAGACATTTAGTTTAAAACATTCAAATGAACTAACATTATCAACAGAATGTGAGGATATAATAGATGTATTGTGTTGCAGAGATATCTCCTGAAGCTGGCATGTCCTAGCCCGTCCTGTGTTGTAATACCACTTGTGCCTTTAGAGGCGACTGAAAATAGCGTAGGGGAGGCATTTTTGTTAAATTCCCATTTCTCCTGTTTTTTTTTTGTCTTGATTTATTTATTGTATTACTTAATTTATTTAGTATGGTGATTTTATTTCTGCTTAGAGATGGTTTGTTTGTTTGTGATTTTGAACAAAGATCTCCCTGATGTTTCATTTAAGCTTTCATGTCTGACAATAAAAGAAAACATTGGCTCCTCATATTCTTCATCTAGTTTTATGTTACTCTCCTCTTTTCTAGACCAACTTGGAGTCGTAACACAGATATATATTTTACTGGTCAAACACTCATTTGAAAGATAAATTTCAAGTGAGAAAACACAACTTTGAA